CTTTAATCTTTATTATTTCCATCCTTCTATTAACTTTGTGCTTATTTTGTTCTTCTATCCTGGAGAATGCTCTGTGCACACTTGAGAAGAATGTATATTCTGCTGGTGTTGGGTAGAGTGTTTTGTTTATGTCTGTTAGGGCCATTTGGCCTATAATGTTGTTCAAGTCTACGGTTACCTTATTGATTTTTTTGTCTGGATATTCTATCCATTATTGAACCTGGGATATTGAAGTCTGCTATATTACAGTATTGCTACCTGCAGGACAGTTTGCTGAGTGGTCTTGGACAGACCCAGATCTTCCCCCTTTCTCATGTATGGGTCTCAGGCATAACTGTAGAATGTGGGGGGAATGCAATATCCTGAGATAAGGAAGCACTGGCCAGAAAAGTACACGGTGAACCTGCTTCACTCTTCATGGTGTTATATCGTGTTCTGTGGTGAACCTGCTTAGCACTATTTTTCCCTTCAATTATGACAGTTTGCTTTATATATTTAGGTGTTCTGATGTTGGATGCATATGTATATTTATAATTGTCATATCATCCTGATGAATCAACTCTTTTCTCATTGTATAATGTCTGTCTTTGTCACTTGGTCTCTGGTAACACATTTTGAATTAAAGCCTATTTTGTTTGGTATAAGTATAGTCACTTCTTGTCTCTTTCAGTTACCATTTGCATGGAATATCTTTCTCTATTACTCCACTTTTAGCCTATATATGCTCTTAAAACTAAACTGAGTCTCTTATAGACAATATAGGCAATACAGGACATATAGTTGGACCTCGTTTTTTAATCCATTCAGTCACTTTATATCTTTGGATTGAAGAATTTAAAGTCATTTACATTTAAAGTAATTAGCAATACAGAAGGACTAATTATTGCCATTTCGTTAGTTGTTTTCTGTAGTTCTTTTGTCCCTCATTTCCTCTCTTGTTGTCTTCCTTTGTATTTTGTTGATTTTTAATATTGGTATGCTTTGATATTTTTTCTCTTTTTCTTTCGTATTTCTTCTACAGATGTTTTATTTGTGTACCATGGAGCTTACATAAAATACAATTAGAATAGCCTATTTGAAGTTGGTAACAACTTAACGTTAATCACATACAAAAACTCTACACTTCTACTTCTCCCACTCTATATTTTCTGATTT